GATTAGTTTAATACTTGACAATAAAAATTATAATAAAATGTATGATACATTACACCCACACCCCTGGAGTATGTTAAAATAACTTTAAGGTCCATGTAGTATCGGTAATTACAATCACCTCCTAAAACATTAGAAACCGTACGGAATAATGCATTGAATAAGTTATTCCGTTAGAATTCTAACTGATTATTAATTTCAGGCAGCGGTGGAGACGACTTAGATCAGGGGTGACATGACTCTACTAATATTTCTTAAATCCTTATTATTTTATATAAGATTTATAAATTTTCGTGTAACGCCCCCGCGGATAACAAATATAGTGCATACTGGTCCTTAGGACATGAAATCTTGGCTCCGGTAATTGTTTTAGGGGTATAACAGTAATTACCAATACCACAAGGACCTTAAAATTATTTTAACATACCTTAAGGGTGTAAGTGTAATTTACCCTATATATATAGCATTAAAATAGTCTAACTAAAAGATATTTATTAATTAAGTACTATATATAGCATTAGTCCAATCCAATTTTAACTATATTATGATGAAACCCCAACCAAACTTCACATGCATGTGTCTGTTATATATATATACTTCTCTATCATCACCAGTTTTTAGATATTTCTTACCATCAGTTGAGGAAGAAAAAAGTTGTCTGAAATGAACGTCAAGTTGATCAAGAATCAAGAATCAAGATATTTATTTTGCGTTTGCCGTTCATTTTTTTATTTTTATTTATATTTTTTTATTTTTTTATTTTTTTTTGTAATTCCACTTGTCATTCTCGATAATTCTTGATATTGATTCTAAATTCCTTCTTCCGTCACATTTATAAAAATTAGAGTTCATAATCGTTGGAATAACAATATAAGTGTATTTAGAGATAATAATAAGAAGAATGTGTGTAGTAGGAATACTCAGGAGAGGATATCAAGTTGTCCTAACTTTGTGCTCCAAGACTGTATTTATACATGTCCATGAGATGGAGCGGTGGGTCTCGCGTTCTGTCTTCGGTCAGACCACACGTGGGGATAGTGTGACTACTATGAGTTGTGTTTGTCTGCTGAGGGCGAGCTATCTTGCTCTATGCGATCTGGCGATCTGGCCAGTTAAAAGGAGAGAGCACGCTGGTGTGGTCGCTCGAGGTTATGCCGTAAGTGGGCCTCTTCCTGGTCCATGTAATGTTGCAAGTTTTCTGCCTTTGTTTCTGATATTGGGCGGAATGTAGTCACATTCATCGTCTATGTCTACTCCACGTGAGTCTAGTGACAGGCTCTATGAAGTGTTAGTGGGCATGGTAAAATTAGGTTGGGTTACCTTTGGACTTTATATGAGATTCTTGATATTTGGGTTTTAGAGCAATTGAGATCGTATCAATTATATTAGGGGATCATTATAACAAATTCCAAATTTTCCTTAGTTCAATACTACCAAGTTTAAAATTACAATTGAGTACATATTTATAAGTTTTTTCTTACTTTAATACCAAAATAAAATTAAAAGTACAAAAATACCGTTTCTTACAAATATCAATTATATTAGAAAAAAATTGAAATTACTTTATTAAAACCAATTAAAAGAAAAGGAAAAAAAAAAAACTCCCCTTTCAACCCACCCACCGGCGCCGCCTCCTCCCTCCACCGTCGCTCACCGGCCAGAATCTACCTACCCTCGCCGAACGCCGCCGCCGCCGAAACCTCCGTCGTTATCAAACCGTCACCGCCACCGTCGTTATCACAAGTAATATTTAGTTTCGTTTTTTTTTTCTTTAATATTGAGTTAGGATTTGATTGTTTGATATGGGTATTTAGGATTTTATTGTTTTAGGTAGGAATGATCGTTAATTAGTAATGGGTGCATCTAAATTCAGTCGATTTGAGCATTGATTAGAAATTTCGTGGGTTGTTCTTCGTTTCACAAAAATCGACCTGAAAGTGTCGATTTTTTCAAAATTTTCGACATATTGCCGTCGAAAATTATGCATAAATCGACACTTTGTTGTCGATTTTTGTGAAATTTTTGAAATTTATTCCAGTTCATTTTCGACAGCAACCTGTCAAAAATTATGGCAAAATCGACAAGTTACTGTCAATTTTGCCAACATTTTCGACAGTTTGCTGTAGAAAATGAACTGTTATTAATTTTTTTTTTGTTGTTTGTTTTTTATATTATGTATATTTATTTATTTGTGTGTTATTTTCGGGTTTTTGCAGTGGAAGAACCACGTGAACCTCGTATACCCGGCTGTCTCGAACCGTAAGAAGAGGAAGGAATTATCCGATAAGGGCAAGGGCAAGACAATCACGACCAAGAAAAAGATTACGACCAAGACTAAGTCTGGAGAGGGTTCTTCCTCAACGAATCCGGTGCCGACTCTACCTCTCCCATCGACTGTAGAAGTTGATGATTCGAGCAACAAACCGGTCCGAGGTCCCGAGATATCGAAATTGTACATAAACTGTGAATAAATTTTTTTTTATAATTTACAATTTTGATTTTTTTAGTCCAAAAACACTTAGAATATGTTTTTTTATGTTACATTGAAGTTAATTTCACTAAAAAAAAAAAAGATTTGCAAATTATCAAAAAAAAAAAAAAAAAAACTAACAGTTACTTTTCGATAGCTAACTGTCGGTTTTATCTGAAAAATCGACAGCTAGCTGTCGAAAAGTAACTGTTACATTTTTTTTTTGATAATTTGAATTTTTTTTTTTTTAGTCCAAAACACTTAGAATATTTTTTTATGTTACCTTGAAATAGATTTTGAGTCCAAAAAAATAATTAAAAAAAATAAAGGCCTTCTTGCCAGCATAAAGGCCCCTCACGCTCACAACAAACAATCACATACGGTGTCCTACGTCCTCTATTCCCGTCACTCGAACCCGCAATCATTAACACCATTTCAATTCTTTTACATACTTCACGAACCCATGCCAATAAAGCTTCTTGTGTTGGGAATTTTTCTGACGTGGTAAATGAATGGGTGCAATCGATTTACACAAAAGTGGAGAAAAGATTAGACAAATAAATTTGCAACAGAAAAAAATCGACACTTAAGTGTCGAATTTGTTCCCTATTTCCGACACTTAAGTGTCGAAAATAATGGACACTTAAGTGTCGAAAAGATATGACTTATATAATAATTGATATTATATATTTTCGACGGGTAACTGTCGAATTTGACCACTATTTTCGAGACTTAAGTGTCGAAAATGAGGATAAATTCGGCAGTTACTAGTCGAAAACATATAATATCAACTATTATGTGTTTCGACCCATACATGTCGAAAAATAAGCACAATTTCGATCTGTATGTGTCGAAATTTAATGGCAGAAAAAAAAATCAAAATCGACGTTTTAGCTCAAAAAATACATGGATACATACCTGAATGGGTTCTCCTTGATCGTAAACTACCATTTTATTGTCATTTGACGTCATTTTGCAAGTTGTGTAAGCTTTTGATTTCTTTAGTTTTGAAGTTTTTTAGGAGGGTTTTTTGGGAAGGGAGAAGAAGGAGGTGAGGGGTTTGTGAGTGAGGAGGGAAATGAGTTTTGAGGGGTTTTGATTATTTGGTATTGAAGAAAGAAAAATAATATTTGTAATATTTTTTTGATTTTGATTTTCATTAAGGGTATTAAAGTGATTTATGATTAATTGTTTATTTTTTATTTTTTTGGTATTCAACTAAGGAAAAGTTGGGATTTGTTATAGTGATCCCATTATATTATCAAAATAGGTATTAATAAATATATGTTTTCTTTTTCTATAAAGCTATCCAACACAATCCTATACAATTTGTTTAAGAATGTGACCTCACAAAATACAAATTAATTCACGTCCTAAGAAATACATTCTCTGAGAATAATGGCTTAATTCCACTTTATACCCTCGAAATATAGTGTTTTGGCTCCTTAGACTCCTAAAAGGAATTACTAGCTCTTTATACCTCGGAAAGTTATAAATCATTCACATTGTATTTCTTTAAGAGTTAAAAATAAGGGTAAATTACACATCGAGCTATGAGTTTCAGATAGTTGTGGAGACAACATAGAGCTAGGACTGTGACTGTAATTATCAATACTACATGAACCTTAAAGTTATTTTAGTATAACTCAGGGGTCTATGTGTAATTTACCCTAAAAATAAAGATTGCTATGTATTAGGAAACAAGAAGTAACCTTTATTCTTGCATAAGGTTAGCTAGAGCTAGGGGAAAGAAATCCATTTATAGGCAAAAAAAATCACTTTGTCAAAGAGTGGTTGAGTAAGATAGCTTCCAATGCCTTAGAAAATTTGTCTCTTGATTTTTGTAACCACATAAATAGAAATCAAACTAAAGTATTCGGACACTCACACTTTAAGCAAGACACTAGTTTAGAAATAAGATAACATAATTTTTTTTATTCACTTTGCACCCCTGAATTATGTAGTGTGTCACAAACATACCCCTCAATTACGAAAAGTATCAAATACCCCCTACATTTTCTGGTCAAACTTATAAAAATAAAAGAAAAGAAGACTTTGAAAAGTATAATTATATGTTATTGCATATGCTTCAGCTCAAACCTCAATCAAGATCTAAATCATCTTATCGAGCTGAACTCAAATATAGCTTTAATTTATCGTATATCTTTTATTATCATCTTTTGGGTAAATTACGGCCATCCCCTAATGTATAGTCAGTCATATTACGAAAAAAACATATTGTTTGGGAGTGGTTGTAATTACCCAAACATGAGGGATTTTTTCGTAATTTGACCATACCTCAGGTGGGTGGCCGTAATTTGCCCCTTTTTTTGTATAGATCGAGTTAAGAACAATGCATCGAAGCTCGGTTCTTAAACAAACCGAGCTTTAGCAATTGTTCTTTACTGTCAAACTTTTGTGTTTAAATTCTTCTTATTTGACAGCAGAAACAATAACACTAGTATATATATATATATATATATATATATATATATATATATATATATATATATATATATATATATATCAAAACACTGCATCTTTATAAGTTTCTCAAGACCGAGAAAGCACAATCTTGTGCCTATTTTATACACTCTTCATATGAGCCAAAAAAAGAGAAAAGCAGTAGCAACAAAGATATTTTGCATCCAAATGCCCAAAAAGAAAAATAAAAATAAAATACGATTCACCGAGAAAACGATGAATCGACAACAACAAGTTTCCGTTTATAGAGTCGGCAAAAAGAAAACCAACAACATTTAACTCAATTTATTTATCACCTCTTCAAAAGCTTGTGAGAGTAAAACCGCTTCGAGTAAGGACTATTCCTCGACATCACCTTGTACGACTCGATTGCATGAACCAAACAATTATGGAGCCGCCCCTAATTAATAAAATATCGAATTATTTTAAAAATAACGACAATTTACGCGCTTGGTTTTATTTCTAAAATTTTATAAATTAATAAAAAAAAATATCGGAATTTTAGTACCTGAGAAAAACGGAGGGCTTTTTGGACAACGTAATTTGCATGGGGATCTTGAAGCAGCTGATCAAAGTAAGAAGCGGAGAGCAATTCGCGGATGATTTTTGAACGCATTTCTTCGTTACATACGGTGAGACACGTTTCAACGACGTGGCTGCTGAATTTTTGCGTGGAGAGATGGACGTAATTGCCCTCGAACTGAGATGTGATCTTCGATATTGCACTCGGGATTTTAAGCTCCAATAGATATTGCACCGCGTAGTTTCTGCGTCCCAAATTTAAAAAAAAAAAAAAAAAAAAAAAGAATGGTAAATATTTTACTTGCAAGAATAAAATGGATATTAAATTTTGGTTTTTTTTTTGGTTACCCATAAGCATCTTGAGCGAGTAGAAGGGCGTTTGCGGAAATTTCGGAGACCAAATTTTGGAGGTGGGCCCCAGTTGAGTTGCTGATGCAACGTTGAAGAACACAGCATCCATACTGATGTGTTGCCATTTCAACACAGTACTTAGCAGCATCAACGAAAATGAACTGAAAATAAAAAACGAGATAATCGATAAGACGATACTTGGTTGACAACTAGACATTCGAAATATCCAGAATGCAAGTCAGATTTTCGAGCTTTCGCAAATCGAAACAAAGCTATTAGTTTCCGATTAGGAGTCTTCTAGTGCAATGTGCATTTAAACAAAATTCAAAACAAGCTTTTTAGTTTTTCGATTTTCGTCCCTATAATTAGTGTTTGGCAAGAAAATTTTACGCTTTTTAGTTTTTCGATTTAAACTTATGCTCGATAAAACGACAAAAAACAGAATTCCTCCCTAGAAAAAACGAACATTGGCAAGAAAATCAATTCACATGGCAACATGACAAATCCGACAACATCTTCATAACGACAGACAAATATCAGATAACGGCAAAAAAGCGCGATGGATTTCTATATATATATATATATATATATATATATATATATATATATATATATATATGAACAAAGGTAAATTATAAATTGATAATTACGAGATACTGCGATATTTTCATCGACAGTAATTATTCCAAATACGTGTATCTCTAAGAAAAAAAATAACTATAGAGTATGCAGAAAAAAAAAATAGATCATACCAATCTATATAGACGATGCTCGACTTTGAATAAGTACCATTTACGAAAAGGTACATAATAATAAATAAATAAATAAATAAATCGTAAAACTCAATCGAGAGCAATTTTACCTTCCTATCCTCGTGCGGAAAGCATTGCAAGCACCTCTTAATAACATGATTCCCATTAGAATCTTTGACGAGTTCGAGAAACCCCGGTTCGAGCGCTGCAATAATCAGCGAAATTTGCTGCTTCGTTTTAACGGTCTCGATCAACTTCTGCACTACTCGTGTCCTAATAAAAAATAAAAAATAAAAAATTAAATGAATCGTTTAAATAAACCAAAGCAAAATGTACGAACATACATACCCATGCGTATTCAATGAGATTCTAACGAGATCGTTTGTCGCCATAAACAGCACATCCATCCTCTGCTCTTCGCTGCAAACGTCCAACAATTTCTGCATTAAATAATTTCCGAACGGGTTCATCATCAATTCGACGGCGTGACCGATTATCTCAACGAATATAATATACACATCCAACAAAGTCCCTTCCTCGAACACCCTCTGCAAGAATCTGCATCCGTGTTGATCTTTCGCTATGTGGTATATATTCCCCCGCGCAGCTGCAAGCGAACTGAACTTCGAATCCGAAATATTCATCGTCGGAACCGCGGGCCCCACGTGGTTCGCTCTATTCTTGCCCGAACGGGTGTTACTATTACTATTACGCCCTCGAAAACGTTGATCGATACTTTCACCGTGGACGATGAAACTATCCTCGTTTAACGGGGCTTTGTTTCGTTCGTAATGAATAAAATTTTCTTCATTGTAACGAGTCGGGAGTGTAAGAAGCCCGTTTCTCGGAGGGTAGAATAGACTATCACTACTAATGGAGGGATTGTTGTTGATTAAGGAGGATAGTCCCATTATATCGTCTCCGTAAAATCGAGAACTCATTAAAGAAGGCGTTTCGAATTCGGGTTGATTTGGGAGGAATCGAAGGCTTTCGAGATTCGGGATCGGTTTTCTTGGAACAGAGGGATTGTTGTTGAGGACGCCGAAATCGGGATACCGATTTCGGTAATTATCGGGTGCTTCGTGATGGACGCCGTATGGGGAAATCGGAATGCCCCTTTGCTCGGTGGCGGCGATGTGCATTTTGCTGAAATTTCGGGATAAATCGAGATAATCGGAGAAATCGTTGTTGTTGAAATCGAGAGAGAATCCATTGTTGTGGGGGAAGTGTGGTGCTGGTGGTGGTTTGAAATCTTCGAACTGAGGGGAAGGAGGGGATCCGCCGCCGCCGCCGCTGGAGAAGAGGCTGGAGGAGGAGCCGTCGGAGTGGAGTGAGAAGCCGCTTACAGGGGAAGATGCGGCGGCGTACTTGTGGTGGTGGTGGGGGTTGAAGCAGTCGTCGTCGTACATAAGAGGGTGGATCGTCGTCGTGTTGTTATTACCGTCGCACCATCCATGGCGGTTGTTTCTCTGGGCGGCCACGCACGATGCATGGCCGCCGCCGCCGCCGTGGATGTAAGCATGATCGACGTGGCTGCAGTGATTTTGAAGATGGTGGTGGTGATGTAATGATGATGACGTGGCGTGTGAGATCTCGCCTAGTAGCATTTCTAACTCTTCTTCTTCCTTCATTCTTTTTTTTTTAAACAACAACAGAAAAAAAAAAAACCAGACACAGAAAGAACAACAACAACAAGAAGAACAGTAACAAATTACACACACAAAACACACACACAAAAAGGGAAAAACGGTAAAAGAAAGAGAAACCCACTAGAGATTAGTGATTTTTAGCATCTGGGTTTGTCACCGTAGAAAGGAAAAAAAAACAGAGGTGTTGATAGTAAATATGGAAAGAGCTAGGGGCTTCGGTGCAATTTCAAATCATATGAACAGAGAGAGAGAGAGAGAGAGAGAGAAAATCATTTGGATTTTTTGGGGTTATCTGATTTGGGTTTTGGATTTCAATGGTGAAAAAATCAAAATGGTGGGTGAAGCATGCAAAGATGGAGGACTGTGTATATATGTATATATATACCGTTTATATACATACAGATACTGATACACAGAGACGACAATTGGTACAGTGACTACAGACTCACACCATTAAAGATGGGGGAGATAAAAGGAACACACAGTTCTCTCTCTCTCTCTCTCTCTAACTTTCTCTCTCTAGAAAACAGGACAAAATTCTCGCTCCGGGTATACATACAAAAAAAACTGGTTGTATTGTGTATGTATATGTTTGAGAGTGACAAAAAGAATTTGTACGATATATTGGGTGAGCTGGGGACTGGCAGACATACGCTCTGCTGATATACGCAGAGACACATACACACACACACACACTGAGAGTGAGAGAGTGTTCTTTTTTACATCAGAGGGAAGAAGGCGACAAATTGAAAATTAAAAGACATTATTAATAATTAATATTTTTCTGTAATAATGGGGTGTGATTAAAATTTAAAATAAGTGGTGATGATTAGTGACGAGATTAACTAACTAATCTCGAGTGTTGAGAGCATTTCTCGTTTGTAATCCTCCTTTTACGGTGTTTGAAGATCTGGACTTTTGAATTCTTTGCTCAAGATCAAGATTGATTAATTATTAATAATAATAATAATAATAATAATAATAATAATAATAATAATAATAATAATAATAATAATAATAATAATAATAATAATAATAATAATAATTAATAATAATAATAATAATAATAATAATAATAATAATAATAATAATAATAATAATAATAATAATAATAATAATAATAATAATAATAATAATAACCATATTTTTTGAATTTTGAAAATCGATCATTTTACGTAGTAAATTTCAGTTTATCTACGAAATTTTCCAAATCTCGTCGATTTTGATTCGCATTTTTTTATTATGGGGCATAATTTTCATTTTGAATCCCGAAATTGTTGAGAATAGTTCCTAAAAAATCGATTTGATTTTAATTTTTAGAATGATTCTGAAAAAATTGGATATCGGAACCCCTTTTTTTCATTTTGATTTCCGATTTGTTTGTTTGTTTTTATTTTAACGAAATTGGAATTACTTTTTACTTCAGTAAAATATGGATTTTTTCCGAAAGTGTCAAGTGCGATCTGGTCAGTGCGATTTTCACCGTATCTTTAGTTTGGGTGTGCATGGCTTTATGCTATTTTAATTCATAATGTGGCTTAGAAAAAGTCATCATTGAACAAAAACCTATACCAAAATATAAAATAATAATTAATAAATAAATAAATAAAAGAAAAACTTAGTTGGTAAAATTACTTAATTAAAAGTGCCTTATGTAACACAATAGTGAAATTCTTGTCAAAAAACATAATTAATTAAATAAAAAATTGGGCAAGGTGACAATAATTTGGGCAATGTGAGAAGTTAAGTGGAAAAGTGAGATGAAATTATAGAGACGATGGACCACAAAAAGTGTCATAATCCATAGTCATATATTTGATATGGCATTATGGGCTTTTACCAGCTCATGCAGACTCCCTTAAATAGCATTCTTCACTTATCACAATTTTAATATTCATGTATATATAATTATATATATAAAGAATTATTATTTTATTATAATATTATGATATTATAATATTAAAAATCCAATTCTTTTAAATTAAATAAGGATATATATTATATTTACTTATTTTTAATAATTATTGGCAAATGAACGAGCAATTACATGTGTGCAGTGTGTGAAAACCTCGTTTTCGTGCAATAATCCACAAATCACACGACATGTATAATTACACATGTAGTCGCCTATCTTACTGCACCAACTAAGTCACTGATTGTCGTCTAGAGTAATATTGAGATATACTAATTATCTTTTATATTATGTACATTACAACATTATCTAATCCTATCAAAGTCAAAAAAAAAAAAGATAATGTGTAAAACTAGAATTAAAGGCTTTAATAATCACACACACACTTCATCATTATTAACCAATTAATGGTTGTTTATTTCAGAGTATATTACCATATTAAAGCATGAATAATAAGTTCTCAAACTGCCTCTCATCATTTTAAAACATTGACACATGTAACATACCTAAATCGTTTTTTTAGCAATAATGAAAAATAACGAAAAAACGACCTCCATTAATGGTATCCAACAGGTGCTGGCGCGTCTCTTAACTCCTTCCCCTGGAAATGAATATCCTGCATATCCAAATATAAATAACAAATCAGCCGCAGAATTAGAATTAAGTGCCGATATAAACAGCAATTTCAGGGCAATCATCGAACGACATGTGATTTTTGCTTGCCTTTGGAGAAAACGGAGCCTTGTTACAATAATCTTACATTCTGAGGAATACAAACAAGTCATCTAGCAAATTTGCAACCACCCCCACCCAAAAAAATACCCAAAACCCGAAATCATGACTAACCACGAAAATTACGCAAATGCAAGCTCATCCATATCCTATTCCCTTGTTTGGGAATTATGACGAGACTCGATAGACAACGTTTTTTAGGCTTAGGATTGGGTTCGGATTTCAATATGTAGTCCACACTCAATTAGTATTATTACACAATCTTATGACAGATATTACCCAAATACAAGGTTTGTATTATCACAAATCTGAAACATATGATTATATAATCACATATCACATTTGTGATCCTAAACCAATTCATCAATTATATCAATCACATCAACATTCCCAAACCAAGGCATATTATACCCTCTATTATATTATCTCACCAAAATATATAGATAGGATAAAATGCTATAAATTATAAAAAACAGAATATTCAAGAAAGTCAGCAAAACTCACAGAAGCAAAATGGTTGACATCTCTGTGATGCGCCTCGTCAGCGCGGATGACAGTGATAACATCCTTGAGAGTTGCGTCTTTGGGGAGCCTCCAGTAGTCGATAGCAATAGCAGGGGCACGGACATTTTCAATCTTGCCATCGTCAATGTCCTTCAAGTACTCAGTATACGAATGTATGGCCTCTTCTTCTAAATAGCCGACAACTCGATGTGCGAGTTTTGGAGAGAGAAGGTAGAGTGTGAAGAAGGCGTTGAAGAAGACTCCCTGAACAGTGAGAACCAGAAACCTTTCGTACCACTTTGGCTGCACAAGCTCCACCATAGTCATCAAGTGCATCCTCTCGTTTTCGGCTTCTTCGAGCAGTGCTTTAATCCAACCACCGCTCTGCTGAAACTTGCGCAGAGATCTCAGATGCAACAGCATTCCTCCCACCATACCAGGAACGGCGGCCACAGTTTCAAGCATCATTGCACGACACCCGTACCGCCTCTGCAAAATAATTCCAAAGTATAATTAGTAGACTTTGCTGTTATTCGAAGCTCGAAAAGATTACTGACTGGGATAACTAAAACAGAAAACAATGAAAAGAGGTTTTTTTTTATATGTGAAGCAACAAGTCGAAATATGGTCTTAAGCAATAATATGCATCCAGGAAATCGTACGGAGTTTATCACCATATCTATCCATTAAGCAAATGTGTCTAAAAGTAAGACAAATCAATTGACCTTAGCTGCAATCGACTACGGCTATATCTATTCAGCATAATTCATCACCCTATAGGTTGAATAGCTGTAGTAGGTTTAGTTAAATCACAACTGCAACATACTAATTTTTGAGGGAGTAGGTAGAGTGAGGGACACATGCACATAGTTACCTCGTCTACTAAATAAAGCTCATAGTGAAAAATCATAGCAAGATAATACTAATGCTTACATATTTCAGGAAACAATGTGCTTTGGAACTATCGTTTCAACACATGAGGAACAAGCAAATGTGTGGAGATAACGAAGACTGCAAACCTTGAAAAACAAATCTGTGGGCATCCTAAGAAGTTTCACTGTCCGATATGCCACTTTGTCAGCAAACGTCTTCGGAACATGGTGCTTGCTAAGATCGATTGATACGTCTGCCTGATAAGTTTCCCATGGCTGCACAATGTAAAATTAATGGAAAATAGTTCAGGTTGCTACAAAACAACGAAAATATTGTTACAGTTCAACGCGCAAAGTTGCTCTGAGATGTGAATACTCCAAGCCAGCAAATTACAACAACATCAAACCATTAGAAGCTCGTGATGGACTCCAACATCATTTCTGTTACCTATACATCAAAAAACAAAAACGAAGCCAGAGTACATTGCAGCCAATCCAAAAACAAGATAATGCACTGGGTATAAGTTTTCCCCCTTATCTTGTTCTCTCGTATTCAAAGACAACACTTACACTATTCCCTAACTATTTCCTACTGATAGCCGATATGCTTTTTGGGCTTCTATTTTCTTCTTTAGTTTCAATTATCCGATCCTAAATTGCAATTTCAATTTTCAAATCAAAAGATATAGCGTGGCACAACAATTGCTCATTGCTGAATAAAATGTAGGCCAAACCTAAACCTACATTAACACGATTTGAAACTTCGAGTATCCTAACATTTAAACGATACAGAGTTACTGCTAACACCACCGTAGTTCACCAAACTCGTTACCGTTTCTTCCGAGACTCCTACTATCACAGCTCACTCTCCCTAGCTAGAAATCGACAGACCAAAACCATCTACCTTAAAGCAATTGACACCTTACATCATCATTAATTAATTAAGGCTTATCCATCATCATCATCATTAATTAAGGCTTCTAATCTCTGTTTTAAGATTATCATCCGGCGTGATTTCAATTTCAGAGTTGGTTAAAGTATTTACCACAAATTGGGGGAACAGAAAATGCAGAAAAAATCAGAAGACAAAAACATATGCATAGATGCATTAATTACAGTAAAAAACAATTTATCATGCCAGATGCATTAATTGCAGTAAAAAGCAATTCATCGTGTCAGTATACACACAGATGCTTTTAATCATGTTACCATGAAGCAGTTCCAAGGCCACTCCGTGCCATCTTCTCTGGTGATTTTAGGCCTAGAAACCCCCCAATAGCTCGAAACCACCACGGCGCCGCCGCCGCCGCCTTTCTCCGTCGCCACAGCACCGTCGCGTTTCTCGTCCTTCCCTACCACCACCGAAGTCGGAGAAGAGGACTCCGGCGCCGTGCTCATCATCCGTCCCCACCGTATCAACACCATACTTAACCCCTGCGACTGGTAACCGGCGGCCGCCGCCGACGCATCAAACGGCGCCACGGCACGTAACCCCGACGTCACGTGGCGGCCGTAGTTGCCGCCGCCGATCAGACTCTTCATCAATGATCTCGCCGCCGAGTGATTCATTTTGGCAGTTCAAGACAAAAACCCCAAGTTCAAAAGACTGATCTGGAATGTATTAATATATTCATGAAAACCGGTTTGCTGAACCAGAAATTAAATTGTAAACGGTGGAGAAAATTTCATTTTATTCGAAATCAGATGACGTGGCAATAGTTTATTGGTTGATGTAGGTGCACCAAAAGTAGCTGGTTCCCTCAGGGCTGTGTTTGGATAGCTGTTGACCGGGACACGAATTATTAGGAAACTGCCTTTCTTTTTCTCCAAGTTTACTGGAAAAAATGTATAGTGTGAGCGGGTGCAGGATAAGCAACGTGAAGTTTGCTGGCTGATTACACGTGGATAGTTATTAGTGGAGGGACTACCGGGTAATTGGAGGTCTTCAACATGATTTCTTGAACAAAAAGTCTTTTTTTATTGTTCAAAATAATAATAATAATAATAATGGGAAATTACAGTTTTCACCCCTCAAGTTTGCACTAATTTTATATTTAATCCCTTGTATTCACAGAATACACATTTAGTTTCTCATGTTTGAATAATTTAACACTTTTAATCGTTTTTGTATTTACCGTTGGTCAGTTAATATAATGATGGGCACGCACTTGACTACGTGTTGATTCCATTAGTTTCAACATTCCATTAATTTTAACGAAAAATTGATGGAAATGACTAAAATTTCTGAATTTTTTTTGTGAGAGTATGAGGGGTCCAAATGTGAACTCGGTGCAAACATGAGGGACGAATACTATATTTTTTCAATAATAATATACTGAAAAACATATATAAGTTTACCCAGTCACCCATCTATAATCTCAAAAAGTCAACCTTCGATCAATATTTACAACATGACTTCTACTTCACCACTGGTGGTCCCCACACACAAGCCTCTCGTAGAAGAGAATATACCCAATATCCGTATTGCTCGAATACTCCGGCGAACACCCAAAAAAGTTCTGAATAACCGACTCGTCGACCATCTCCACGTTCTCATCGTCGAAGCACAGCCATCGATCATGGCTCTTGACTATACTCACGTAATGCCCGTGGTTGGGCCCACTTCCCACGTGGACCACCACAGACGATAACGAGTATTCACAGTCCGCACCTTCCACTGTGTTGTTCAGCTTCAGCTCCAACGGAAACACCACGCGGTACGACAGCTTCTTGTGCCTCTGCTCGACGAATTTGAACCGCTTGAGGTGGATCACTAGTATACGTGGCGGTTTCTTTATCTTCAGCCTTTTTTGCGCTTCTTGCAAACTGTGCGAAAGAAAACGTTAAATTACATTTCTTTTCTTTTTTCCCGAGGGAGCGAGGAAAAAGAATTAGGGTTGTCTTTTTTTTTTTTACCTAGAGCAGTTGTCGCAGAAGAATTTTTCGTCGGCGATTAGAGTTTCGGTGGAGCTGAAGTTCTTGAGGCAGCCACTTAACGAGCTGTTTTGTTCGATATCGATGCTCAAGTCTAGGAATATCTCGTCTCTTGCGGTGACTGTCTCGCACCTTAAACACCTCGTCTCGTTTGTAAGAATACCCTGCGTGTCAGAAAGTCAAATGATGAGATTTGATTGAATTAGTTTAGAATTGCATGTCCAAGATAATGTAATTGTAATATCCGATAATCTTATGTTTTCGGATTTGTGTAGTAATAGAGGTTTAGTGTGGACTAAATATCCCTTTGTATGTTCGATTAGGGCCCTTTTCTATCACGTGCTTGAAACGTAGAGCCTAAACATTTGATCGGGCCTTCTCAAACAAGACCCAATGGTTATTTTTCGTTAAAAGTATGAGTGGAAATCGGACGGATTGGAGAGAAACTGCATTTTTTTTTCGAGAGTTAAGAACTCATTCCAATTTTGTTCCGATTTTCTTTAGAAAAGCTGAAAATTGGAATTTCGAAATTGGAATGAAAAACTGGTTCCAGAATTGGATATTTTCGATCTGAATCGGCGGAATTTTGAATTTCCATTTTTATAGTAGTTTTTCGAAATTAAAATCGGAACAGAAATTGGATATGTAGTCCAGTTCGGTTAAAAAAAAAAAAAAATCGGAATCGCATCATATCACCCAATTCACCAACTAAAGAGAAACAGAGGTCCTTATAGCTTTTGAATTGGGGAACAATCCAAAATTTACGAGAAAGTTTACCTGAAAAACTTTATGGACCCAACTGAAAAAGGGTTCATTAGAACCGTTGATCCGACCATTGGTTGGTTCGTTTACAGCATCCTCCACCGAAACCGTTTGTGGCGCACTTGTCACTTTGTGAGACTCTTTCTCCATTATCTCAACTAGTTTATTCAGCACAAAATTCAAGAATTCATGTGCATCCTGCATGACGGAAAATTTAAATAAATAATTGTAATATCGAATAAATTACAAATTAATGTCTATAAAAAGTTTACATTCCGTTTAGTTGGAAAAAAAAAACAAATTACGTATATACGAGAAGCCAAGTTTACGAGCAACAAACCTGATGCATGTACGATCGAAAACTCTCGTTGTCCCTTCGAACTCGATGTACAAAGCGTTTTGGAGCTATTACACCTGTTTTCTTCTTGTGTGAACTTATCTGCATTAACACGATCGTCAATCTCGACAGTTATCTGCATAAGTTTTTGCCATGTTTTTCTTCGGACCATAAAATACACGAGAAATACGGCAATTATAACTACCTGTGAGAACAATTCTGCAAGACATGTCAAGATATTATCATCTGCTTCGCCCGAGTTTTTGTTGTCTGAATAATACTCCAGCAGTTGCTCGCGAAACGGGACGCAAAAGTAAAGAGCCTAAATCAAAAATCAAATGATATTAGAAACTCGAAACTAACCAAGACATTAATTCAAGCTCAAAAAAATTAATGCGTAGAAACAAACGTGACATGTTTGCGACTACAATCCCTCTATTGACATTGTTACGACGTTGAATTACTATATTCTCAAATGCATCGGTTTTTGTAAAACTAAAAAATCGAATATGTCGGTTTTATCACAATTCAGTTTTATACGATCTTCGATTTATTTTCAATTCATGCTCGGTTTATTTTTTTCATTTTACAAGATATTTACAAGGTATTAGTACACTACAATCAAGAATGCCAATTATACATAAACTATAAAAGATTATACAAAAAGGTAGAGCAAACAGAAGTTTTTTTCTGATCGAATCGTTAATCAGCTCGTTTCGGTTTTTGGTTTTTTCGATTCTCTTTGCTCAACACTACTCAAAAGTAATGGAAGGCTCTAATTCATTTAAAATACTAAAAGTGGAGCAAGAAAATCTACTAATTAAACTATTAACACCAAATTATGGTTTCATTCAATTAATTAATCACCCAACAAAGCACAGAATTAAACAATACATAACATCAAAAAACAAGTAAAAAGGCGGCCACGCACACACACACACACACACACACACACACACACCTGGAGAACACTGTTGCAATAGCAAGTGTTTCCGAAATTCTCCAAACCAAAGTAGCGTTCGCCTTCGGGAAATTGTTCGCCCAGTGCCTTCTCCAACTTAGAACCCGCCATACCCATTGCGATCGTGACACGTCACCATCCACCATATACCAGAGCTCCTCTATCGCTACGGTGATCGGAGTTCTTCGTCAATTTCAGGCGGGTTTGCTCCGATCGTCTGATAATTAGGCCGTGAAATTCTTCGCTCCTATGACCTAATTATACATACACATGTATGTATGTGTGTGTGTGTGTGTGTGTGTTTCGGGAGGTGAATTGCCAGTGGTTTTGAGTCGGCGGGGAAGTGGTGCGGTGTCTATCTACTGCTCTGCCACCGAAGTTGTCTGCTTATTTTGTTTTGGGATTTTTGTTGATTTTCTTGGGGAAATTCTATGCTACACCTATTGGATATAACCAGGTACTCAAATTAATAAGATTCACACTACGGGTTCAGTTATGGCCCAATGGGTTTTAGAAATATAATTATAAAATAAATAAAAAAGAACACATGTCAAGAAAAGAGCTACTCGGTAAAAATCACCGGGTGTAGCATCGTATTCCCCATTTTCTTGTATGTTTTTGGAAAAATTACAGTTTTCACCCTTAAGTTTGTATCAATTCCACATCTGGCTTCCTATATCCAAACAAAATCACATTTAACCCCTCGAGTTTCAATAATTTAACATTTCCTTATGTTTTTTCGTCAAATTACCGTTAGTCCGCATGTTAAGATTATCAAATTATATTTATGATACTTATGTCATGCTACCAAAATTGAGATGTCCCAAAAATATTTTAAATTTACAATGAACTAAAAAAAATTAGCAATAAGCCCCCACCCCCACCCCCCAATTTGCGAAAGTCGTACAAGAGGGGACCCTTCTTTTACGTAATTAGTGAAGTGAAGTTGTACGGCGGTGGAGAGGTGGTCGGTTTTGGAGGGAGGGCGTGGAAACATTAGCGGAGCAAGGATTTTAATATTAAGGGGGCCCAATGCATTAAAAAGATTCTAGGGGGCGTTAACGCAATTATACACAATTTTTTATATTTCTATATAAAATAAGAGTTAAATGCAACAACCTCCCCTGTGTTAATCCTAAAGAACAGAAAACCCCCTGTGAAAAAAAAAGTGACTCATACCCCCCTGTAATCTATAGTCAAAGTCGTTTCCCCCCCTCCAGATCGCCTGTGTCGTTCACGCGCTATTTGTGCGACTACTCATCCGAATTATGAACGTTTTTTATGCAAAAGGACATTATTGCCCCTCTGGTATTTACTTCTTTGTAAAGAGGGCATATTCCCTCTTACAATCTGAAATTAGGGTTTATATTTCCTTTCCTCTCACAAACCGAAATTAGGGGTCAATCGAGCTCATGTCTTCCTCTTCGTCCAACACCGCTGCAAAGAGAAGAAATATGAAGCTGCATATGGATTTGCGTTACGCCACACCTCCGTTTTGTTATTGCGGGCAAAGGTCTTCTCTGAAGATTGTTGAATCAACAACAAAACCGTCAATAGGTAGGTTGTATCATAACTGCGAAATCCGAAGATGTAAATTTTTCGAATGGTGCGCCCCGATTCGAGCTACGTGGGAACCCGTTGGGATTCCTATCAAATATCCATCTTGCGAAGATGTAGTGCAGGATAAAGTTGAGGAGGAGGATGAAATAATATCGAGATGCACAAGTGTTCATAATCGACTGCATATGATTCTGGTACATTTTCAAATTCCTTGGCTTATATGCTCATTCTTCTTTCTTCTGCTGATGGTACTTTTGCAGAAGATTTAGAACATTTAGAGTCACTGATGATTATTGTAATATTTGATGTACTAAGCAGTTTGTTGTTATGTTTGTCTTGTTGGTATTCAATATTCCAATTGCTCCAATTTCTAATGAAAATATAGTTTGGTTTGTTCCAATTTCATTTTTTAATTTTTTATGTAGTTGTTTACCAAATATTCTTACTGGAAAATAAGAACCTACATAATGTTTCATAACCAACCAACTCAGAAAAAAAAATGGCAAGATCAATCCTAAAATTTCACTTTCCCCAAACCTGCTTTAACTTCAAACTTATACAATAATGTCAAATAAATATATTAAGAACATTCAAACAAACTGAGTTTTACTAATGTCTTCATAAGAAGCTAAAAACATACAAAAGAAGCATTGACAATGGCTGAATGTTACTAATACAGTCAATGTTACTAATGTCTTCATAAGAAGCTAAAAACATACAAAATTAGAAGTTTCAAAAATATTGTTTTTTCAAAAAGGCTTCATAATAAGCAATAACAAAAATTGGATTATCATCATCACTTGCTTTCTAGATCTTCCACATCTTCTTCTTGGACCTATCTTTGATGTTTTGCACTTCAGAAATCTGGACCTTCCTTTTTCTTTTGGGATTGGTTGAACTAGCACCACCTTCTACAGTTGATGAGGCCTCATTTTCATGTCCAAGCAGAGCTGCATTTCTTCTCCCCTGGTAAACCTACAATCAATATAAAGTAAGTTAAATTCAAGTAAACTCACTATCTACAAATCAAGAAAACTACATTTTACCCTTGATGGTTGAGCTGCATTTGTATTCACAACCATTGACTCTTGAGAGGAAACTGGTGGAGGTGCACTACATCCAGATCTCATAAATTGAGGAGCTCTTGGAGTTCTTGACTTCACTACCAATGAAGGGGATGCAGTATGGCCAGTTGTTTGTGCTCTTGAAGCTCTTGGAGGGGCAGAAGATGCAGTATGGCCAGTTGTTTGTGCACTTGGAGCTGTTGGAGGGGCAGAAGATGCAGTATGGCCAGTTGTTTGTGCACTTGGAGCTGTTGGAGGGGCAGAAGATGCAGTATGGCCAGTTGTTTGTGCACTTGAAGCTGTTGGAGGGGCAGAAGATGCAGTTGGAGCTGCTGGTGCTCTTGGAGCTGCTGGTGCTCTTGGAGCTCTTGGATTCTTGCATGTGTTACTATTATGGCCTCTTTGCATGCACTTCTTACATGTATGGGTCAAGCCCTTTCTGAATGAGGGCCTCTGCAGCTCTTCAGGTGCTTTTCTTCTCATTCTTTTAGGTCTCCCCCTCTTTATCTTTGGAGTTGGTGCTGCAAGTGGTTCATAAGAAGTCTTCAAGTAATCTCTCTGCCCTGGAACAGCATGTATCATGTGTTCAAATGTCTTCAAATACATTTCTTTTTTGTAGCAGTTGTCCACATAATCCTCCAACTTGTATCTCCTCTCTGCAATGCATGCCCATGCATGAGCACATGGGAACCCACACAGCTGAAATATGCCACATGAGCAAGTCCTATCAGTCAACTTCACAATGTATGTATCCAAGCAGTGTTGAACCTCAAATTCATCCCTCCCACACCAAGTAGGAAAACAATTTCTTGCTGTCTGCTGGAACTTGTTGATTTTTCTTAAGATGTTTGGACAAATTGTGCCTTCATACTTCTCCATCCCAGTTCTTTTTGTTTGGTGTCTAGTTGTCAACCTTCTCCTAATCCATTCAAACATGCTGATTATAGGCTTCTCCCTTGCTTGAAGGATCATATTGTTGAAAGATTCACACAAATTATTGACTAGCACATCTGATTTGCAACTTGTGGTGAAGTGTGATCTGGTCCAGTGACAAGGTGGGATGTTCCTTAACCATTCTGCTGCAGCTCTATCAATCTTCTGAATCTCAGTCATATGCATTGCAAATGTATTCTTGTTTCCAGTTGATGCAGCTTTCCATAACAGTGTCTTCAGATCTTCAGATGGCCACTTACTTCTGAAATTCTGGTATATATGTCTCACACAGAACCTATGAGCACAACCAGGTGCTAGTTCTTTCAATGTCTCCGACAACCCCTTCTGTCTATCAGAAATGAAAGTCCATTTGGTTTCTTCTACACCACCAATATCTTCAAGTAATGCACTAATAAACCAAGTCCATGTCTCCCTATTCTCAACAGGCACAACAGCAAGTGCAATAGGAAACAAATTATCATTGCCATCTCTACCAACAGCAGCCAAAAGTTGCCCCCCATGAAATGTTTTAAGGAAACACCCATCCAAACCAATTAAAGGTCTACAACCAGACATGAATCCTCTTTTCATTGCATCAAGACAGAAATACATTCTATCAAAGATAGGGGGTTCTGAATAGAGTACCTTTCTGAGTAACATCTTAGAACCAGGATTTTTGTCCCTCACTGTTTCACAATAGTCCCACAATAGCTTGTATTCTGCTGCATCATCTCCTCTAATCCTCTCCATTGCTGCTTTTTTTGCTCTCTTGGCCTTCCAGTATCCAGCATCCACACCAACTTTTCTTAAGATTGTATTTTGCAGCTTGACTATAGAAATGTCTGGATTATCTTTAATTCCTTGTTCCAGTCTCTTCCCAATATACTTGGCATTAGCATGTCTGTTGACCTTCACTTTACAACATGTGTGCTCACCTGAAATAGTCTTGATCTGCAATATAAGTTCATAAACATGTTATAAACAAGTTGGGCCTTTTATAATTTCATATAAGTTCTTAAACATGTATCAAATTTTAAAAGTATTAGTTATACCTGAAATACTGGACCACCTTGAACAACTGATGCATGAATCCTCCAGTTGCACCCATCTGCCTTGCACTTTGCAGTGACTCTTTTTCTTTCATTCTTCACATACTCCAACTCATATCCATTTCTCACAACCCAATCTCTAAGAGCCTCTCTATATAATTCAATACTTGGAAACCTCATACAAACTTCCAAGTCCCTATTTTTCATATTCTGCCCCTCAGTGTATATAGGATACCTGTTACACTCATTTCTGTCATCTAGATTCTCAATTTCATCATCATCATCTGCATCACTAAACCACTCTGATGGAGATGGATCAATACTATACTTCTGCAATTTGGGCCTTTTTCTTCTAGATTTCCTCAACATATTTTTCAGCTTCTTCACTTGGTCTTGTTTAGTGATAACCTTTTCCACAAAAATATCATCTTCTGAAGACCCTTCAATGTCTTCCAACACTTCAGTTGGAGCATCTGAATCTATGTCATCAGCATCATGATCAGGTTGAATGTAGTCTGTATCAGATGAATCATCAAATTCAGAAGAGCTTGTATAATTTGTTGTTGGAGGCTCTTCAGCTCTTGGTTGCACTTCTTCAGTAATTGGAGACAATTCTTCTTCAGCTATTGGCTGCACTTCATCAGTATTTGGAGGCAATTCTTCTTCAGTTCTTGGCTGCATTTCATCACTATTTGGAGGCAATTCTTCTTCAGCTCTTGGTTGCACTTCATCACTAATTGGAGGCAATTCATCTTCAGCTCTTGGTTGCACATCATCAGTAAGTGGAGGCAATTCTTCATTTGTTGCTTGAACTTCTTCAGGTTCTTGCAACAACAGAGGGGTTTCTTTTTCTGGTGCTGGATGAATAATGTTCCCATTTCTGTCAACTGATATAAGTGGTTCTATACCAAGCTCCTCTGTGTACAATGTGACATGGTTTAGTCCTTGGTGTACATCAATCAAAAATTGGATGCCAATGTCACTTTCCACAACCTTCAACCCATAATCAAGTGGTTGCCCAGGATACAAGAAGTAGAATTGTATATCAAACCTCTTTCCTCCACAGAGCCTATAAATCTTGTAAAGTGTGTCCAAGTTGAGGTAGTCTAAATTCACATCATAGACTTGGTCTTGTCTTCCTCCAACATAAGTTAATTTATCGTTTTGAACAAACTTTCCATCCAACCAAACATTAAATGTACAATAGTGGTCCATCCTGTATAAAGACAAAATTCTAAACAATCAAAAGATGGACCATGTTGCAAGGAAACATTATTTAATTCATAAACTGAGACAAAAACAATTTACTTTTATATTCAACTTCGATACTGCAAAGCTCTGTACCCCACAAATATTCTTAAATATTAACCATGTGCATAGATTATTATTTATTGTTATATAGAACAAGACCCAACAACAATCAAACATAAACAAAGAAAAACCGACAAAAAAACATTAAATTTCATACTCATAAAGTAGTATATGCGAGACCACAATCCAAACATAAAAAAACGGGACAAAACAAGCAGAAGATCTGAAATAAAGAAGGGTAAAACTCACCTCAACAGTCTTCTATATTTTCATGTCAATGGCTTCAATCGCTTCACTTCACCTTGTGTGGATTCGAACCAAAAGAATTTACGGACTAATATTGGGGAATCGATTTAGGGTTTCTCAGAATTTAGGGTTTCTTGGAATTTTGGGGATTTTCACAGTTAGAGAGAGAGTGTGTGTAAATCTGTTGATAATTTCACGCTTTTACTGAAGGGTTTTTTTGTCTTTTCGCAGGCGGTCAACGGGTGAAATAAAAAAGGGTCGAGTGTACTTACTTAAATAGATTACAGGGGGGTATGAGTCACTTTTTTTTTCACAGGGGGTTTTCTGTTCTTTAGGATTAACACAGGGGAGGTTGTTGCATTTAACTCTATAAAATAATATGAGTTTGAGAAATGTTGGGGGCAATGGCCCCTTGCCCCTATGCTGAGTCCGTCACTGCGTGGAAAGGCATACGACGGTGGGGAGCATCTGGTAGAGAGGTCTTTCCCGAACTTGTCCATTGCATGTTTCAAATAATGCGAGTCGACTCTCATGGTATCAATTTTGCCATCTCTCGCCTAAGGTCACCGGTGACCGCCTTGATTAGGATATAGCTTCAATTTGTATTGGATTAAAATCTACCTAATTTTCTTTACTTATTTTTCAAATAATTTAATTAATTTATGCTTCTTGATTGTCTGTTGAGATTTTCTTAATCGAATACTCTTTAGTTTGATTAATATGTAATGAATTTTGTAAACTAAAAAAGAAAAAGAAAAAAACAATTCTTTTTTTCTTTTCTTTTTGGGTTTTGCCGTTGAATTGTGTTGGTTGTCATAACAGGTTTATGGTTGTTTCTGTTACTTCAAAAATTAATTACATTAAACAAATTACAGTAGAACCTCAATAAATCAATGTTCGATAAGTTAATAATCTTGTTTAAATAATATATTTTTCTGGTCCCGATTCGAAGGCAAAATTATTCATAGAGGTTTAAATTAATATACTTGTTAAAAAAATATTTCGTAAATTTAATATTTCGCTAAATTAATAAAATTTAGCTGATTCCTAATTATATTAATTTATAGAGGTTTAACTATACTATTTCTATAGCCGATTTCATTATTCAACTAAGTCTTTAGTGTTCGATCTCCTTAATCAACTACGGTTTTAGTAATATTTGGGGACTTTATCCAAGTGGAAAAAAAATAAAAACAAAATAGAGAATACGGGGGTGTTTTGGTAATTCGGCGCCGAAAAAATGCTGTACACGCCTGTATAGGCTGTTGTATCTATCGATTTCAGTTAGAGAGCGGAAACTAAATTCCGTTACTATAAATTGACACAAACTGTGAAGAAGGCGGAAAACACCATTTTCAAAAATATTCCGATCTGCAGCAGTTACAATAATCACCCGGAGTTGCTTCTTCTTCCACCCAATAAACACACGCACAAACACACACACACACACACACACACACACACACACACACACACACACACACATTCTGTGTGATTTTGCAATTGGCGGTGAACAACATGCAACCAGCTGCACGGCAGTGGCCTTATCGGGAATATATCGACGACGCCTGTCCTTGCATACTTCTCTATCCTCCTGGCGGCTACTTCGCACGAATGCGCAAACTCGCAAAATGGAAGGTATTTGGCTGCACTGCCGTCCTGCCGGCTCTTTCCCCC